ACAGTGGCAATTCAGAGCCTTAACCACTGAGTATCGAGTCAATAACTGACTGTTTTTCCCATTTAAAATTTTAGCAGATGGACAAAAGTGTGTTAAGTGACAAATTACAAGCAAGGTGGGAAAGTATATGACTTCTAAATTTGTTTTTTTATTTGCTCATTTAAACATTTTTTATTGGTTAATCTAAAATAATAAAAGATATGATATTATAGATTAATATATTTCAATAATATCATAACTGTCATTTTAGTTTTGCGATATTTTTAATTAACCAACATAAAAAGAAATAATGGCATGAGGCTCCCGTGATTACATGATTGGGGGAGGCTACTAAGGATAAATCTATGTGAAGCATTCTGAGATAATGTGGGTAACATATCACTTATTTGGACATTTATTTAATTTGAAGGATTTCGTAAAATAATTAATTCATCCACACGCATTCTCTAACAATTTAAACGCTAAATTTTTATATTCAATTTGTTCATGTACAGTGAAAGAATGATATAAAGCTAATGCTCAAAGGTGGTTTATGACTTGTTTTTCTCAAAAAACTAAAGCTAAAGAATATATTCCTACCTTTTTTAAATAAAGGAAGTAAGCTGGGTTCTTCCAAAACTTTTTTAGCAGTTCGTTTACATGATCGAAATGTCATTTATATTTATTAGTAAAGGTACTTTATAAAATAAAATACTTAATTAATTTACATTTAATTAATGTTTTTATGACATAAATAAAAAAAATTAATATGCAGTATTACTTAGAATATAGTTTAGTTCCTTATTAATATTTATTTAACTTGTTATTAAATAAAAAAAAACATTTTTTCGAATATATTTAAGCATACATTTTTATGTATCTTAAATATTTTATTTTACTTTGCGTATTTTATAAAGTTTATCATTCAAATGAAATAAACATAGCAAAGAACATATTTAACCATGTATATTTTATGTAGCTAATGCATTTATGTTTTATATGTATTTTTATTTTTTGTAGCTAATTATTAAATAAAGTAAACTTTGCTACGAATATATTTAAGCAAGTATTTTTTAAGGTTAAATTTAGATACATTTTGATTTTCTTTTCTTTTTTATAAGAAATAGTTAAAATAACCATTTCCATAATTTGTCCACATTAGTCTTATGTCATGCTTGTAGTGTAGAAATAAAATATGAAAAAAATTGAAAGAGAGATTGTTAAAAAAGTGTATCGCTAAGGGAGATTATGTTAAATTTAAAATAAAGATAAAAGTTAAAATTGTTATTAAAGAAAACCTTATGTCTTCCAAATGATGCTTAGTAATTTCTTATTTCTTCTTAGTTTATTTATAAAAATTGTCCACGCTGGTATCCATCTCTCCTGTACCAAATTTGTAAAGAAATTTTCTGAGAGACATTTTAAAATATTTTAATGTCTAAAAAGTTGGTATTTGTTATGTTTCATATACTTGTAAACACTTTAATGCTTTAATATTAACAAATTGTGATTTATTTTGAACAAAAATATCACTCCTTTACTGCCGTCTTTAATATTTTCATTTTTTTAAATAATTTAAATTTACATAAATGTTAAATTTTTCTTTAATATGTAAACCAGAATATAATAAAGATTTTCTACTTGCTGGAGATAAAAGATTCAAGATTTAACATGCATTCTAAATTTCTAGAAATTATCAGTATTAGTAAATATATTGTATCTTTTAGCCGTTTCAAAAAAGATAATAAAAGTATTAAAAAATATGAAATAATCCATCTAAAATATTAAACGTTTTTCAAATTTTTCAAAACTATCACTTTCGGTTAATAAGATACTATTTCATTTGGGGGTTGAAAAAAATATGAGAATAAAAAAAAAATATATGAAATAATCTATCTAAAATATAGTACGTATTTCAAATTATTAAAAGTTTTCAATTTTAGCTAATAAGAAACTGAATGATTTAAAAGTTAAAAAGTATGGTTTAAAAAAATGATGTTTGTGAAATAATTAATATAAAATATGAAACGCTTTCCAAAACAATAATTTTTTGCTAAGAGAGTATAAATTAAAAAAAAGTGTCTTTTTAAGTTAATAAGATGCTGTATCATTCATAAGCTGAAAAAAAGATTAAACTATCAATTTCAATTGTTATATGTATTTAAAACTTCTAGAAATAATCAATTTTATTAATTGATATACTTAAATGCTTAAAAATTGAAAAAAATATTTAAAATAAAGTAAAAAAGTATTTAAATTTGCAGCATCATCTAAAGTGGGAGGGGGGGCAAATATAAGTTTTATCTTGAGTTCTAATTAAGACACACACATTATTCCCCCCCCCCTTGAGAAGGGTTTGTATACTACGCTCAAAACATCCCTTGTTGACTATCCCTCCAACCATCATCCAGTAAAACATTTTCTGATAAAATCGTGATCTCTCCAATAATGTTCGCCAGAAGCAAGTGTTCAGTGGGGAGGGGGGGATAGTCAATTAGTATTCCTTCATTTTTTGGTCAATTTTCATTTGATAGTATTTTTTTATCCTTAATACAGAGTTTTTCTATTTCTATAATTATAAATTCCAAACTGCATTTACATTTTAAACTATATTCAAATATCACTGTATTAATTTTTTGTTGTTGTTAATTTTAAGGTGAGAAAGTGGAATTCAAAGTCTTGAAAATCTGTCTAAAATGTGATTATTCACAGCTTAATAACCTTTATTATGACCTTAACTATATTATAACCTTTTCATGTCGTGGGCCTCTTTTAAAGTACATAGCCTGCAAGAAGCAAGTATTTGAGAAATTTAGGTGTGCGAACGTTTGAAAAATTCGGCCTTATGTTATATTATTGAGAAGAATAAAGCTATTCGAAAATATTTGGATAATTTTATTTTTTAATTTTAGGAAACACTGCACCAATTTGCTAACCGTAATATTATTGTAGTTTATTATTTTATTAGTTCTTACGAAGCTGTGGATAAATAGTTAAATATGAGTAATTTTGTGAGATTATATTGCAGATTATTTGATCTGTATTCTGCACACATTCACTACATAAAACCAAAAAAAGGAACATGTGGTGACGAAATGTGCCTCATTTCTTAAGATTTCTGCTGAAATATATAATTTCTTTTGTAGATTTTTTTATCATTTGTAGTTGTGGGATATTTATTATAAATACGAAAAGCCTATGACTAAATTCGACACTTAAATTGATGATATTCGAAGAAGCGGAAATAATTGATTTATGAAGCGAGTTGGTTATATATTAATTGGGATTTACGTCAAATAAAAATTTACCTAACATATATTGTTCAACTTAACTCCAGTTTTTAGTCATCGTAAACATGCTTCAATATGAATAAAAACAAAATGGAGTTGAAACACAGGTTAATTAACTCATTAACTTTATAAACTATCTGTGTTAAGAAAGTGAAGCTTAAAAGAAAGATAACTGGAAGAATATTAGCTCCATTAAGAAAAGTTTATTCTGAAATGAGACTTTTGAAATATGAGGCTTTGTATTATTATGCTGAAGAATAAGATTTAACATTCACCATTGTTTATTCTGTAGTCAGTCTTATCTGATACTCAATATTAATTTGCTGACAACAATATTGTGCTAATACTGTAACTAGAAAAATGCAGGCTCGATGATGAGAATGTAGAGTTTTTGAAATATGTGGTTCTGCATTATTATGTTAAGGATTTTACATTCAACATTGGTAAATCTTTTGTAAACCTTATCTGGTACACAATATTAAGTTGTTGAAAACAATATTATTACTGTATGACTGGATCCTATGTAATGAAGAAATATAACAAATCCTTATTATGTTCAATTCATATCTAACGAAATTATAATAATATGAATACCAAAATTCTAACTGGATTTAAAACATTATTTTGAAAGATTACATTTTAACTAATATAATAAATGCAACTTTTTTGTGAAAATTTAGTTCGTTTTACTCCTACAAATAATTATAACATGGAAATCTCATCGTAGTTTAAAAGTAATAAGATCGATTTAGAAAAACATCTGACTTCGAAACAAATAATAATAATGTGCTTGGAAAAAGGTGATAAGTGAAGGTTGTATAATCAAAAAGATATTTACACATCGTATGTCTTAGGTTTGATAGTTTCTGAGCACAACCATCGGCTAAAGGTGATTTCCAGTATCAAAGCTTAAAACCGTTGCTCACAGCCCACACCGAGAACAAAAAACATTCCATTTGAATCTGATAATCCTAACAATCAAAGTGCTCGGCACTTTGATTGCTACGTAGTAGTTCCTTGAAATTTTTTAATTTGTTTCATTCTGATAGGGCATGGTAAAAATGAAAAGATGTCTGAGCTGTAACTCAGTGTTATCACATATGATTATAAATGAACCAAATTTCAAATGGTATCCACCTGCACAATGAACATGCGTCTGTTCGTCCCTTGTCCGAAAAAAGATCCCCACATACTGAGGAAAATGGAACATACAGAAGCTTTTGGTGAAACCAAAGTTCGAAATAGCACTGTCACTAAGAGCAGCATTATAAAGAATATAAACCATGTGAATGTGCTGAAGGAATACAAGAATACTGACGTTTATGGAAAAAAATTAAGCATGATGCATCAGTAATGTTTTTTCGAGATAGATGTAAGGTACGCTAAAATCCACCGTAGTTGACCTCTCTCCGGTGGTACCTGACATGCTAAATGCCATTTCAGCTTTATTCCTTGCAAGCAATCCAAGAATTCCTGTTCCATTTTCCTAATTAGCCTCTAAAGTGTTCACAATTCAATGTTTATTTTTGTGAAAATAATCAGTGTTGGTAAAATTTTGAAAATTTACGATTCAAGCAATCTCCCTAATATAAATAAATTTGGTCGTAGAGTTAAAATATGATTTAGTATCATCTACTTTAAAAACTTATAATATAATTCATCTAATTTCAAAACTAATATTGTGCTTGGAAAAGGATGATAGTGAAGCAAAAAGCCATATGCATATCATGTTTAGCGATATTTTGAACGTAACCATCGACTGCAGATGATTTCCATTATTAAAGCTATAATACCTGCTATCCAGCCAATACCAAGTATAATAAACACTCCATTTAAATTTGATAACCCTAAAGGTGATGTTAATGTGCTCTGAGAATAGTCTGTGTTCAAATTCCTTGTTAAATCTTTTTTAAAGAAGAAATCTTCTCTGAATTTATTATATAGGCCACCACTTAAAATTCGTAGTACGATTGTATTGAAGCGCTCTTTGCAGCAAAATGTTTTTCTAATTCCAACCCCGATATGAATATATGCGAAAGTATCCTTCGAATAAAAGTACTTTTCAGGTGGCCCAATAGCCACACGAAATAGATCAGGAGTACCAAGTATTGCTACATGTTCCGGAACTTTGACTTCTTCAGGGAGATAGTAAAACCAGTAATTCTTTTTAATGTATTCCCCTAATCCTCTTAAATGAGGTACTTGGCTTTTTAACAAATTATCTAGTTCCTTAGATTGCACCGATGATAGACACTTCATCTTCCCCTCTCTGACTGCGAGATAGAGATCCTTGAAGTCTTTTATTTGTTTCATTTTGATGGGAGCTGTCAAAAATGATAACAAGACTGAGCTGTAACATAAAATTAGCACGTATGAATAAAGGAGCCAAATTCCAAGTGGTATCCGCCTGGACAGTGAGCGAGGGTTGTAGTTCATTCCTTGTCCGAAAGAAGATCCCCACAAATTGAAGAAAACAGAAATAATGGAATCTTTTGGCGAAATCAAAGTATGAAATAGCAATGACATAGAGAGCAGTACGATAAGGAATAAAATCCACGTAAGTGTGCCGAAAGGATACATGAATGCTGATGTTTTTGACAAGAACGGAGCTTGATTCATCATAAATGTTTTTTCAAGTTGGTAGTAAGGTACACTGGAGTCCACAACTTTCGAACGCTCATAGGTGACATCCAAATAGGTGAATCCCATATCAACTTCATTTCTTTGCAGCATTCCCATCATTCCAGTGTAGTTTCCGGATGCATCCATGTCACCGTAAAAATCTGGGGGAATAAAAATCTCATATTCGAAATTTAATGCGCGTGCCAATAGTTTTATAAATTCTCCTTCAAGTCCTGAAATAATGGTAGTGTTGTCGACTCTTGTAACTTCTATGCCTTTGGTCCCGGGTAGAACTGCTAGTCTAAGTTTCGAGGGAAAATATGCCACCATCTTTAACAAAATCCTATTAGGTTAAGTTTCAGATGAAGTTTACTTATTTAAATCAGTTCTTGAAAACTTTCAGAGTATAAAGATGTTGCGTTGGCAAGAAAAGTCGTTGCGTTGGCACAAAATGAACGAATTCTTTGTGGAAATATTTTTCTATTTGGAATGAGTTTGCGGAATTTACCCTTGTATCTAAATTATCATGTTGATTCTCCTGTTAAAAATTTGTCTGGAGTCGTTAAGACACAATTCGTAAAAGCTAACATAGAACAAAGCATCTGAGTGACAGGAAAAAATTTTCATTCCTCATGAACGAGTTTTTTCTTTCTTTTAATTATTTTTATGGAATTATTAAATCCGAAATAGCTTGGAAATTTTTAATCTTTGTAAAAATCAGCGTAAATTTCTTGGAGAATATTAATTACTTAATCTATTTTCACCAGGCAGAGTACCACGTTAGACCAGGAAAAGTACCAGGGCTAAATCTGAATCTGAATTTTTTTTATGATTGTAAAAATTAAAGTTAATTTTTAAGCAAATACAATCTGAGTGCATTCGTATGCATTTTAGATATTCGTTCTTAATGATTTATATATATAGATCTGTATAAAACGTCCTTGAAATACTTTAAGCCATTAAATAAAATTGTGGTGTCAGAGTTAATTATTGTGTTTTCTAACTTTTAATCGATATTATTGTTTAATTATAGATAGGATAAGAGTGTGCATGGTTATTTAATGATAGATTAATAGTGGAATGATAGATAAAAAAAAAATATCATGATTCATTAATGAAAGTTTCAAGATCATTAAAAACGACTTGTTATTGATTTTTACTCATTTAAAACTAGTCATAATGACATATGGATAATGATATATAGATCTTCATATAAACATAATTATTTACTCATTAAAGCCCGTTATATGTTTATTCAAACATAAAAGTATTCGATTTACTGCTATTTGTTTTGGTGCCAATACTTATACTTTTACAATATCATCGATATTACATGAAGTTTTCTTTTTTTATATACTTTAGAAAAACATTATTTGATTAAATTTATGAGTTTTTGCACTTAAAAAGTAAAACATTTCTTTTATTAACGAGTGCTCTTATAGCAATTCCTATGTTTTTGATAAAATATATTTTAACAACGGAATTCAAAAGGCGATGTGTTCTTCTGTCAAATACTCTTGCAATTTTATTAATTTATTTTTGCACTTGTATATCGTTACGTCTGCGTAAACACCCAGTAGGGTCTTTTACTGGAATGGAAACTTGCTGTTATATGTAATGAGTAATAACAATGAATAATAATAATAAGCACAGCAAGAGAAAAACAATTATTTAAAGTGGTAAGATTTTAAAAATGCTGATCTCTTGTCAAAGATTAATAAACAGTAATTCTCTTAGAAAACTAAGAGACTAAACTAATATCATTTCTTATCTATTGATTTATGTTCTTATTGCTCAATTTTCTTTTGATTAGTTCTAGCTTTTACTGAGATAAATACTGTCAAACCTTGTTAACGTCAACTAGAAGGGGGACGAAGAATTTTTTCAAATTAAATATTGTTCACGAATTTCATGTGAATTCACGAATTTATTGTTCAGAATGATTTTGATGAAAACCGTACAATACACAGACATTATCTAAATCTGTTATCTATTTGCCAAATTTATTGCCAAATTTGTCAAATTCGTTTTGATTTCGTCATTTTGGATAATACAAGGAAAAGAAGCTCCTATTATTTTTCGAATTCTTGCAATTTGCAACAACAACGCTTACGAATAATATAAAGATACACTGATTGCATCACAAATATTTTGACCCTGATACTAAAGATGGTGAACAGTAAATAATGTTTTACTTTCGTCAGAGATATACAGTCATTGTTTTAGAAAATTAATATTCAATCATTTTTTTTTACTACAGATTTTTATTTTTGTTCTTAAAATTTCCTTTGATCAATTTTCATGTTAACTAAGATGGATATAATCACATAAATTCCAGTTATAATCAAACATTTATCAATTTAATGTTATCATTACTATAACTATTACTTAATCAAGAATTAGTAATAAATATCCAATTTATTTCATAAGGATTTTTCTACCTCATAGTTTCTAAATTATTCTTTTGTAAGCTATTATTAACCTTAAGCTAGGAGCTAATTACAATATAAATTACTATAGAAAAGTCTTCTTCTTCTTCTTTTTGGGCACTACAGCCTATGACAGGCCAAGGTCGCACCAATAAATTTTTAAATATAATAAATGGCTTATAAAATTGCTATAAATAGCAGATAAAATTGCTATATAAATTTACTATACCTTATTTCCATACGTCTTATTACTATATAAAATCTTCTGGAAAAGAAATTCTTGAAATATATTAGATCAAGTTTCATTTTTCCCTGGAAGATATTCAGATCAGAAAAAAAGTCACTTTCCTTACATTTCTTATAGAGGAAAAAAAAGGAGGATTAAGAGCCAGATTTTTAGAGTGAGGCAAGTTTGGATAGTTGACATTTCTTTACTTTGTTAAAATTTTACAACGTTCGCACTAACTATTAATACTTAAATACTTTTAGTGGACCATACCATCAAAAATCAAAGGTGATTCAAAATTTTTAAAATAAGGATACCTTTGATTTTCATTGTCAATATCTACTTGTGCCAAAATTGAGCCACAAAGGAATATATTTCTGTGAATACATACTAATGACCTAAAAATGAGCATATTTGTGGTGTTTAATATTTGGCGTGACCTTAATTTTTTTTAATAATTGAAGGTCATTAAATTAATTATGGTCATTAACCATTTAATCTCTGAATAAAGAAGAAGTAAACCAAATAACTTGAAATTTGATAAATGCACTACTAAAAGTATCTTAAGACAGTAAAAATAATGAAAAAATTGAATGAAAAAAAGATTAACTGCTTTTTTAGCGATGTTCCATTTTTGAAAGATTGGGGCTTGTCTGGGAGGTGAGGGTGGTTAATATTGTTCCAAATGCGTTCCAGTACATATCTGGTCTCAATCTGGAACAAAATGGTCTCCACCTAGAAAACCATGAAGCCGAAAAATATTATTTTAAAAAACATATTAATGATTGAAACTCTTTATAAAACTTAAAATAATATCAAGCATAAAGATTTTCAAAGCATAAATAATATACATTTTTCTTAAATTTATAGAGAATGCAATATCAAACATGTAGAATATATCAAAATATTCTACATATTCTCTAAGAACAGATCACTTCATGCGCTCATGATATTTTTTACAAAATTGCTTCCTACTTTTTAAAATAAGTTGGTCCATCAAATTTCACTTTCTTATTCAATTTTATAAATTGGATTTCACTTTTTTGCTTCTTATTTGCACTTGACTCTAGGTTTCAATTTTCAACGTTATCTTATAAAATATTAGTTTTGAAAACAAAATTCTACAGATATAAAATGAAATAATGGGATTTAAGCTATTTTTATGTATATTTTATGCATCAATGAAAACCCCTGGTTCATGATTTAATAGATTAACAAAATCTAGATCTTCCTTCCAATGAGGAGGTACGAATCCCAGTCTTAGCTGATGGATACAAATTCCGCACCCGGCTTGCCCGACCACAGTGCTGATACGGAATATCCTCAGTAGTACACGGATCGTGGGTTAGAGCCCCTTGCCGTCAGGCTAACCGTGGGAGGTTCTCGTGGTCTTCCTCTTCCTGTAACACAAATGTGGATTAGTTTTAAAAAAAGTCCTGAACGAAGGCAAATTTATCTTAATACTTCCTCCAGATGTTCCATTGTCTTCTGTATTGGGGTATTGGGTTAAAAATTACAACGTTACGTAGTTGAATATTAGTAGTCGTAAACCCTAAAATTGGGTTGGCTGTTCAACGACGGTTACAAACAATAATATATATTTAATCTCTGAATAAAGAAG